GGAGCTCACTCCGTCATGCGGCACACTCGGGTCTCGAACTGCTGAACTACTGACCTTCGACAGCCTGCAGTTCAGCGTCTTAACCACTTGAGCCACCGCAGCTCATTACTAAATTACTAAATTACAAATAAACAAATACAAATAGAACTGGTCCTAATTTTTTACCATAACTGGATTCACTAGTAGCACTCCCATCTTGTCAGGAAGGTGGTATTGTTGAGATGGCATAGGATATTGAAAGTATACTGGAAGTTAACATTCTGGTTTGTCTTATCCAGCCAAACCCAGAAAGCTGTTCTGCATTACGTTTCCATAAGGTGAACACACATGAATCTGCCTTATACTGAATCAAACCCTCGGGCCATCAAAGTTAGTATTGTCTATGCAGACTGGCAGCCTCTCTCCAAGATCCCTGACAGAGGTCTTTCATATCACCTACTGCCAAATCCTTTAACTAGAAATGCCAGGGATTGAACACTCAGTGTTACAGAAGTTTCAAACATTCTCAATACATTTTAAAAGACACAAAAGAATATTCAGCATTACAACAGTTTGTAGAGCATGAGGCTGGAAACATTAGCTACCATAGTTTACAGTAGGGGTTGTTCATTTATAGTAACTAGCTGAAGAATCCAAGTGCGATCTTGACCCTTTGGAGTCAAAAAGCAGGCTCGTTCCCAAATCGGTTAAGGCGGGGAGGTGCTGGCCGTTCCACAGCTGCCGCTTTGGCTGCTTCGTATGGTTTGGGCTTGCCAAGCCCAAGCACAAATCAGCATTGGCGGTGACTGCAGAATGGCCACAACAATGCCCCGGATTTGCAGCATCCTCCTTGATTGCTGCTGCAGCCGTTCTGCAACCGCTGTTGGGGGGGGGGCAGCTTCGTGCTATTTGGGCTCAGCAAGCACAAACCACACGAAACAGCCACTGAGCTGGCTGCAGGGCAGCCACAACAGCAACCCTGAATGTCCGGCTTTTTCTTTCTCTTTTTTCCTAGACAGCCAGTGAACATACTGGACTGTCAGGGTCAATACCGGGCACCTGGTAACCCTAGTTGGGTGGGGTGGAAGGAGATTGTCTAAGAATGCTGCCAAAGACTATTGTTATACGGGGATGTATACAATCCTGCTGATCTGACCACTTAAGAACATAAGAGATGCCAATGTTGGATCAGGCCAAAGGCCCATCCCGTCCAACACTCTGTGTCACACAGTGGCCAGAAATACCAGGTGCCATCAGGAGGTCCAGCAGTGGGGCCAGGACACTAGAAGCCCTCCCACTGTTGGCCCCCCAAGCACCAAGAATACAGAGCTTCCCTTGCCCCAGACCGAGAGTTCCTATAAGAACATAAGAGATGCCAATGTTGGATCAGGCCAAAGGCCCATCCAGTCCAACACTCTGTATAACACAGTGGGCAGAAATACCAGGTGCCCTCAGGAGGTCCAGCAGTGGGGCCAGGACATTAGAAGCCCTCTCACTGTTGCCGCCCCCCCCCCCAAGAACCAAGATGACAGAGCATCACTTGCCCCAGAGCCCCTATCTATACCTTGTGGCTAATAGCCACTGATGGACCTCTGCTCCATATGCTTATCTAATTCCCTTTTGAAGCCGTCCATGCTTGTAGCCGCCACCACTTCCTGTGGCAGTGAATTCCATGTGTTAATCACTCTTTGGGTGAAGAAGTACTTCCTTTTATCCGTTCTAACCCGACCGCTCAGCAGTTTCATGGAGTGCCCACGAGTTCTTGTATTGTGAGAAAGGGAGAAAAGTACCTCTTTCTCTACCTGCTCTTTCCCATGCATAATCTTATAAACCTCGATCATGTGCTCGTGTGTTTCAGGAGAGGTTCTTGAGCCCCAGATGAAGAGCAGGGCTCTCAGGTGAAGGAGCCAGAAGTTCCACCAGACACCACGAGCATCACACCATTCATGAGTGCTAAGCTGAGGTCTCCTGCCTCACGTGAGCAGACGAAGCTGCCTTATAGTGAATCAGGGCAAATGTGGACAATCACGACCTAATCAGAGAACAAGTATAAAGAAAACAGTCGCTAGAGTCTGACCCACAAATCAAGCAGTCAGCAAGACTTGCAAAGAAGATGCTTACTATGTATTACAGTCTGAAGCACTACAACACAATCAATCAATTCCTACAAATCATTAGAAAATCCTAGTGCAAAGGTACATCATCAACGTCGTCTCCAGATTATATAACGTTTCAAAATTGGATCTTCCTCAGGAAATGTTAGAGTAGTACAAAAGTTCTCTTGTTCATAAAGTGCTTTAAAAGAAGTCATGAAAGATAATACATTCAGACAGGACGCTGATCTCAGTAAAAGTTCCGGCTCAAGTATGCTGCTAAGCTTCTAACGGATGATGTACCTTTGCACTAGGATTTTCTTATGATTTGTTGGAATTTATTTATTGTGTTGTAGTGCGACTGTTTTCTTTATAGTTATACTGAATCAGATCACTGGTCCGTCAAGGTCAGTGTTGTCCACTCAGACTGGCAGCTGCTTTCCAGGGCTTTAGGCGGAGGTCTTCCGCATCACCTCCATCCTGGTCCTTTTTAACTGGAGATGCCCGGAATTGAACTTGGGACCTTCTGCATGCCAGGCAGATGCTCTGCCACGGAGCCACGGCCCCTCTTTTCAGCTCTCCAGGGTCTCAGGCAGAGGTCTTTCCCATCACCTCCTGCCTGGTCCTTTTAACTGGAGATGCTGTGGATTGAACCTGGGACCTTCTGCATGCCGAGCAGAGGCTCTGCCACGGAGCCACGGTCCCTCTTGACAGCTCTCCAGGGTCTCAGGCGGAGGTCTTTCACATCACCTCCTGCCTGGTCCTTTTACCTGGAGATGCCGTGGATTGAACCTGGGACCTTCTGCATGCCAGGCAGATGCTCTGCCACTGAGCCACGGATCCCCTCCATGAGAGGACTCGTCACTCAGCGTGTGAGAAAGAAACCTGTGCTTGGGGTCTTGGGGAGCCCCTGACAGTCCATCCATTGTATCGGCAGCGTGAAGCCTGTTCCTCTGCTCGGAAGACCTTTCTCTCCTCTGTGGCACAGCTTCCCCGTGTGACGTTTTTAAATTTTATTTTGAAAATTTGCATCCTGCCTTTCCTCCGTTTGAGGTGGATTTAAAAAAAACAAGAACCAAAATCCCCCCCCCCCGCATGACCCAGCAGAACCTCACTTCCTCGTTTGTGCATCGATGGAATTTATAGCGCTCCCTCCGTCCCCGGCGAAGTTCCATCCCGCCTATAAATTGGAAAGTGGTGATCTAATCCTGGAGCGATGGGGAACTTAGCCATTCCACGCCCAGCAAAGGTTGGGCTCGGGCAGCTGCGTAAAGGTCATTGACAAAAAAAAAGGCAGCCAGGACAGAAATTTTATTTATTTACGTGTTGTTTACATTTTTAAATAATTCTGCCCTGGCTGCCGTTGGTCTAGACGCCCGTTAAGCTGCTAGCGGCACTTTCTGCTTCCATTTCTTATTTAGAATGTTTGTATGCATATGTTTTCCCCCCGAGAAGTACTTTTCTCCCTTTCTAACCGTACAAGAACTAATAGGCACTCTAGCAGACCTAGAACAGATCAGAGGAAGTCTTTCTTCACCCAAAGAGTAATGAACACGTGGAATTCACTGCTGCAGAAAGTGCTGGTGGCTACAAGCATAGACCGCTTCAAGAGGGGGCTGGATAAACATATGAAGCAGAGGTCCGTGACTGGCTATTAGCCACAAGAAGCAGATGGAACACTTTGTCTGGGGCAGTGATGCTCTGTCTTCTTGGTGCTTGGGGGGGCACAGTGGGAGGGCTTCTGGAGTTCCGGCCCCACTGGTGGACCTCCTGATGGCCCCTGGGTTTTGGCCACTGTGACAATAGTGTTGGACCGGATGGGCCATTGGCCTGATCCAACATGGCTTCTCTTATGCTCTTATGTCTGGGACAGTGGTGCTCTCTATATTCTTGGTGCTTGGGGGGCCACAGTGGGAGGGCTTCTGGAGTTCTGGCCCTGCTGGTGGACCTCCAGGGGGCACCTGGGTTTTGACCACTGTGTGACGCAGAGTGCTGGACTGGAGGGGCCACTGGCCTGATCCAACATGGCTTCTCTTATATTCTCATGTCTGGGGCAGTGATGCTCTGTCTTCTGGGTGCTTGGGGGGCCACAGTGGGAGGGCTTCTGGAGTTCTGGCCCTGCTGGTGGACCTCCTGATGGCACCTGGATTTTGACCACTGTGTGACACAGAGTGTTGGACTGGATGGGCCATTGGCCTGATCCAACATGGCTTCTCTTGTGTTCTTTCGAGTGCCTCGGGAACCCAAGGCAGGTAGCAGCAGAATAAAAAATACGAAGCAACTGAATTTTAAAAAAACAGCATCAAGAGAGATCTACGGTACATTAAGACTGCGCTGAAAACCAGTCTGAAGGCACCACCTGTCCCCACCAGCAGGGCACTCCTCCTTTGCCCATAGTTAGCCTGCCCCCAGAGCGTTACAGAATAATTGTCCCTTGCAACCTCCCTAGGAAGCCAAGAGAAGAGAAGCGAGTTCAGGAAAGGCACAAGGGAGGTTGTGGGGAGCAACAGGGGGCAAACTCACATAGACACAACATGGAGCAGCTCCCCCCTGGTGCATAATCAAGCAGTGAGCCAGCATCCTGATCCGCTGCCATCGACAGACGTACCATTCTAAGCTCTGTCAAAGCTCCCCTTTGGGGCAAAGAGATGTTTGAATCCAGGGTTAACAGGCTGCCATTCTGTGATCCCTTAAATTGTAGCCAGGTGACTGCCGGGAACTGAACCGATACTCAGGCTTTGCCAGCAGAGAGGAGGTGAGGGATTGGCTTGCCTACTGCCCCCTCCCAGGCAGAGGCAGCTGGCAAAGCAACTGGATGAGCCCCTCAGAACGGCTTGCCACCCTGGGCCATCTAGTGTCCCGGTCAATCCACCCTTAAAATCATAGTCTATGTCCACTCAGCCCTCCCTGGTCTCAAGGCTGACATTTTCCTTGGTTCTTAAGCAGACTAGCAAGGCAGAATGATCTGTCCTCTGCTCCATCTGTTTGGTGCCAGTTTGGTGTCGTGGTTAAGTGTGCGGCCTCTAATCTGGGAGAACCGGGTTCGATTCCCCTCTCCTCCACTTGCAGCTGGCTGGATGACCTTGGACAAGCCATAGTTCTGATAAGAACTGTTCTTGAAAAAGAGCCATTTCTGTCAAGAGCTCTCTCAGCCCCACCCACCTCACAGGGTGTCTGTTGTGGGGAGGGGAAGGGAAAGGCGTTTGTAAGCCGCTCTGAGAAACCTTTGGGTAGTGAAGGGCGGGGTATAAATCCGATCTCTTCTTCTTCTCCTTCTCCTTCTTCTGTCTTCATCACGAGCCCCGCCTGGGTGGCTGTCGTACCTGCTTCATGCAAACGCATGTCAGAACCCACAGCCAACAACGTAGTACACACTTCTCAGGAAAGGTAATACTTTATTGAAGAGCTATAGATGCATTAGCATAGGCACTGTTAAGAATGGCGTCTGCCCATTGGGCATAATAGGATATAGGGTATTCGTATGCACACACCCCCACTGCCCTGGCCAATAAGTCACGCTCCCGCACGCGGGAGAAGGAACTCAGGCCGTTAGCGCCGAAGCTGGGAACAA